TGCATACGTATGTGTGGGGCGGAGCTATCAAAATAGGGGCGAGACCCTTTTGAGGTAGGGGCGTGTTTGTTTTGGTGATTTCACATGTCAACATTGGCTACCAGAAATCGCTTACCCCACCTTTAAAGAGGTTTTTGGTAATAAACCAAATGTACCATTTTACAATCAGAATAAGGGTGTGTTCACACTTGTCATATTTTGTTCGATTAAAACGAACTCTGGTGCGATTGCTCTGTTAGTGCGGTTCGTTTGAGTAAGTGTGAAAACTGCCATCCAAACCCTGGTGCGCACCAAACAAGAGACCACTAAAAAGATGGGTCTCGGTCCGCTTCCAAACAAACTCTGGTGTAGTTCGAATGAAATATGAACGCAACACGGACCAAATACTTCTAAACAAACGAAAAACAGGAAGTAATGACAAGATGCGACATGATTTGACGACGCGGAACGAGCGGTGTAACCAAAACAAAAAGAGCAGAGGGCAAACGTGGAGCAACGAGGAGGTAAAGTGCCTTTTATGAGCTCTTCGTGAGTTCACAGGTGGTGAAAATAAAATCATAAATACACGCAGCAATGAGCTCTTAGTCCAGCAGACGGCATTAGGTGTGTTCGACTCGGTCTGCGCAGCGCCGCTTTAAGTCTAACACAGCTTTTGTTTGGGGTGTTCGGTGAGTTCCGTCACGAAATATACGTCATTCAACCCGACCAATCAGGTTGTGAATGTAGCACTATGCCTTTAGGTTCGGTATCTTTAGGTTCGCTGTCAAAATAAATAAATAATCGATGATTAGTTTATTAATTGTTCTAATAATCAGCCCTAGCAAGAAGTGGTCTCAGTTCAAGCCGGCTCCTCTTCCAGATGTGAACTGTGTCAAGGAAGCAAAGAGGACTGAAGTCTTGAAGCTGCTGAGTGAGTTGGGAGTGCCAAAAGCTGTGCAAGAGTTCAATGAAAACGTCCTGTCAAGTGCTGGTGACAAGGACATTGAACAAGACCTTGAGGATGGTGAGAATGAATGAATGACAGCATCTACTGAATTTTCTTATACTTGAGTTATACACAACTTTAGCTTTTTATACTAAATGCACATTGCACAGATATTGATGTTGTTTTTATTCAGACTGTTATTTTAATGTTGTTTACACACTTCAAAATGGTGTCTAAGTTTCAGAATGTTTCGCACTGTTTATACACTACTTGATTATACACTAAACTATTTGAATCGGATGTGCTTTTTTTTAAACTAGTTGCACATAGCACATTATGATAGTGGTCAGCATGGGGGATATCAATGTTGATGTTGTTTTTATTCATGTTTACTCACTTTTTTTTTACACAAAACGTTTTTATCAGGGCTGCGTTTCCCGGTAACGTTGTCTCTTAGCGCACTACGAAGACTCTAAAGGTATGTCTTAACTAAAGGTATACCTGTTCTAGACGTGTTCCCTGAACTATACCTTAGGAGGTTGCATAAGGTATGCCTTCTTACATGCGATGTTTCCAGGTGCTGTCTATGGTGGTGGTGCTGAATCGGTGGATATCAATGCCTCGAGAATCGATTATTCTTTCTATGCACGGGCTGCTTCACTGCGTTATGTGAGAAAGTGCTGTTCTTTATAAAAGAAGTGTTGATTTTAAATAAAAACACGGAACTCTTTCCTGTTAGAATGCAACAAACTTTTACTTTCGCTTTGCAACATACGTCAGGGAATAAAACCAAGAAAGAAAAATATATGCCCAGAGCACACCTCCCAGTGGTCACCACATTAAATACAAGGGGGAAAAAAACCTACACGAGACACTGCTTAATAATTTAACAGCTTTTAACAGAAGAGAAAGAAAAAAACACCTTGGGCCCACACAAGTCCGACAAAAAAACATTCAGGTAAGAGTGTTCATTTACTTCACAACCAGGGTTGATTGCGCAGCAGCCGCATCACATATTGGTGTAAATCACTAATTTATGTTACTGGATGAGCTACTCAATAAAAGCACAACACGGGAAACATATAATCAACAGCTACTACGGCGGAGAAAAAAAAAGAGAACCCGGAGAGCCACCAGCAGCTGAATTTCGGGGCTGAGGGGGTAGCTCCATCAGGTGTCTCTTTTAAAAAAAAAATTATTTATCTTTATTTTTTGAAAGAATTGAAGCGTAATTGAACACTGGGTGCATTACTTCAGAATTACTTTTGACTGAGATGTACTGTAAAGAACTGTGAACTGTCAACAGTGATAAGGTATAGCTAAGACTGGTCCAGACCAACCTTGCGAAAGTATGACTTACAGAAGGTATACTTAACTAAGAACGTTCCGGGAAACACATATTAACGATAAGGTACAGCTTAACAGTATGTACACACCAAACGCAAATTTAATTATTTGCGCGAGTAGATTACATACAAAGTCAATGCAAAGATGCGAATAGAGGCGAATTCGCGCCAGGCGACGCGAAATGCGTGACGCGTTTGCCACGAAAGCGAGATATTCGCCTCAATCGCGTCTTTTGCGCAAGTTCAAAAATTTCAACTCGAGCGAGACTTCCACCTAACGCGTTCTCGCGCAAGCCAATCAGCTAAGAGCTTATTGTTTGCACAAGTTCAAAAATTTTAACTCGAGCGAGACTTCCACAACAGGTACAAAGCAGTGATCGTATTTATCCTCACCATGGTTGGTTACTCGCGGGATGTTTTTCGCCTCGCTCGTGCGAATAAAAACATAGCGCGAGTGACGTGAAAAACATCCCGCGAGTAATCTAGAGCGAGTGACGCGATGCGCATATTCGCTTCGCGTCTGGTGTCACACCATAAGGTATAACTTAAGAACGACGTAGCATTAAGGTTTCGGGAAACGCAGCCCTGAATGTTTGCACTGTTCTCACATACATACTTGATTATACACCATGGTTGGTTACTCGCGGGATGTTTTTAGCCTCACTCGTGCGAATAAAAACATAGCGCGAGTGACGCGAAAAACATCCCGCGAGTAATCTAGAGCGAGTGACGCGATGCGCATATTCGCTTCGCGTCTGGT